ACGACCTCGAAAAGGCAATTCTGATGTCAACCCCCCAGCCCCACTGTGTTTAATATTCTGCAGGGGCTCCTGCTGCCCCAGTGTAAGCCCCAACCCCTTCCCCATGGTTTGCAAGAAACTCTGCTTGAAAAGTACCTCCTCAGCTCTACCACTTACAGTTTTCCTACTTCAACTTCACCGCCATTCCAGCCACCTGGGCTTCTCAGGCCCTGAAATACAAACACATTCTCTCTGTCAGGCTTCTTTTCACTCTGCCTGGACCAGTTTTATCTTTTATTCGTGGAAGAGATCACCTCCCTGACTAACAAAGCGTGGGGGTCCTGTGTGTTCCTACTACATGCTGAGCTACTGTCCGTCACACATGCACCATTCTCACAAGGAGTCTAAAACACCCGTGAGGGCAGGGACTGTATTTCACCTTGTTCACTCCTGTATCTCCAGTGCCTACACGCAGTGTAAATATTTTTAAGGAATTTAAATGATTCTAAACTCAATGAGGAAGAAAAAAAGAAATTCATTTGAAAACGTTTTCAATTTTCTAATTTAATAGAAATAACCAAAACAATGTGGCTTTCAAACAAGGCTTTAAACTAATCTAATACAACTTCTACAACACATTCCAGAGCATTATAACAAGAAATATTTACAGGCAGCTAATGTATTAAATAACCATGAAAAGAAAATCTCGCTTTTATTACACACCAGCAAAAAACACAGGAACGGAACAACTAGAAACTGCAACCTTGTTTTAAAAAATTAAATATGATTATTTAGAGAATACAATACCACAGAAACAGCACTTTTTCTTTAAGAATCATATTGAAGGGTAGTTAACTATGTGCAAAAATAATAGTAGTTGTGGTAGTCGTAGTAATAAAATGAGGGGAGCACACCAGTTGAAATACTGGAAGCCAGGAACCAGGAAGGCTGTGAATTTAACCCTTTCGTGTGTCAGTATTTCTACATAGAAAGTTAACAGGCTTTCAGATTGCACAAATCTTTTTTTTATACGTTTATATACATCTTTCACTGTGATTTAAAACATAGTAAATGCCTACATTTTTCAGACCAGGAGCAGACATGCATTTCATTAAGACTGAAATTTAGGCCACACTTGAAAGGGAATATTGCAGTGGCACTTAGAAAATTATTTCTGTGCCTTCACACATACAAATTTGGTGAGTTTAAAAGAACAGCACTTTTCATTTTAAAGATCACTTGCTAGAAAAGGGCTCAACTTAATTTGTACATTTTGTAGTTTGATTATAACAAATATATCCAATGGATTTATTTTTGAGGATAATTTTGTTTCTCCGATACAATAAAAAATATATATAAAAGACCACAAAGGCAAACACAAGGAACTAAGACTGAAGAAATGCTACACATGCATTTTGACCAAGTAAAAGAAACAGTTATATCCCAGAGTAACATGTTGAAATCTGAAATGTCTATGTAAACTGAGGCATATAAATTTTTTTCTTAAAAAAGTACCTTCAATTTTTTTACTCAAACACCTACCTTTAAAAAAATATGCAACTTTCCCCAATTTTTAAAATAAAATGCCACAATATATTGTCATTAGCTCCAGCATACATTTACTTTTCTTAATTTTTAAAAGATAGACGGGGTGATATGCATACAAACTTCCCTATAAAGTCACCATCCAGGAGGGTTATGGCGTGCTGAGGCAGCAGGCGGAAGTAAAGCAGTGTTATTGCTTTATCGGGGAGGAGATGACTGAGGAGAATGTCTGGGTCCAATGCGTGATCGAACTGTGATGCACCTTGAAAACCGTGGCCCGCCTTCAGCAGATTACTAATCCAGATGGTGAGTGAAGAACCCCATTGTTTCAATTAGGAGAGATGGGGTAGGTTTTATAAAGCTACTCACTGATCTAATGCTGATTATGCAAATAAGCAGTGCTAACAAGAAGTGAGATTTTCATACTTCATTTGTTATGTGTGAGTGGAAGTAGGTAAAGGACTAAAAAGGTAAAGGGTGCCTGGCCAGTGTGGCTCAGTGGATTGCACATCAACTCATGAGCCAAGAGGTCACCAATTCCTGCCCAGGTTGCAGGCTCGATCCCCAGTAGGGGGCGTGCAAGAGGCAGCCAATAGATTATTCTCTCTCATCATTGGTAGTTCTCTCTCCTTCCCTCTCCCTTCTTTCCTTTCTTTCTACAAAATCAATAAAAACTTTTTTTTTTTAAGGTAAAGGGAGAGGGAGCCACAGCATCTACTCCCATTTTGGATACTGAGAGACTGTTTAGTAACATATGGTAGGCCATAATCCAAGGGCATAGTCAGAAGACCTAAATCTTTTAACTTATTAACACTAATCACTAATAATTAATTACATGGCAGGATACCTGCTGAGGTAATTGATAAATCTACAAATTGCACACTATAAACCTTTTGCTTCTATTTAAAAACATTGTTTCTTTGGATTAATGAAAAATTTTAAAAACTGTTACAACAAAAAGTGAGAATTAACTGACTTTAAATTTTATTTAAAATTCCCTTATATAAGAAACAGAGTCAGAAAGTACCTTGTTGATTCCAAAATGGATTAATTTCAACAATGGCTCCAATGCCTAATCACTTCTCTGCGGCCATGATTTGATATTTCTATACAGAGCATGACCTACAATCTAACGATTTGGAACACACACATGCTTCACCTTATAAAGCAATTCCTTCAATGAATCAGCTCAGCTCAGTGTTAAAATACACAAACGTAGGCCAGCGGAATAGACCAAGGGACACTTTATTCTTGGTGTTCTCATAGCAGATAGGAACTGAAATGTGGCAAAAACTCTGCAAACCTTTAAGGAAACATTAACATCTCCAAATCTAAAATACTGCCTTTCAAGGAAGAATACAAATGTGAGAGTATAAAAACAAACAGAAGCTGATATACAATGTTTGTCTTTTTAAAACATAATAGGAAATCATGTAAGATTTCTGAATATCAAGTTAATACTTTTGAACAGTTATATCAGTGCACAGATCAGCTTAGAAACAGTGATCAATGTGCAAAAAAAAAGCTTTAAATGAAATCTAAAGTGAACAACTTCATTTAATGGTGGTTTATGGACAGCTATTAATTAATGGTACTTCCTCAGCAGTATGAATTATCTTGTTAACAGAAATGGAGCCTATTAAATGTTGACAATAAAGTGGCTTTTTAAGAACCAAAGAACCAATCTTAAAATAAAACAAAGGGGATAAACCCCATCTAACATGGTAATATCTTTAAGAGAACACATTATCTTTTAAGGCCCCAAGTATTGAGAAATAAATATTTACTTAAAAATTTTGTTTATTCTGCCATTGATAGAAAGAAAGTATTTATGACTTTCTATCTAGTAATAGTGAAAGAGGGCAAAAAAACATTAGACAAAATGAAGCTATACGGCTAACTCTCCAGTTTTCAAAAATGTGCCCTTAGGTATGTCTCCTGATAATGAAATCACAAATATTATAGGAAAGAGGGGAATAAGCACAGATAAAAGCATTTTTTAAACAATATTCTCCCTCTTATCCGAAAACTCTTCTTTAAAATTTGAGCAAGATGAGTTTGAAATATGTTTTTTAAGTTTACAACAAAACTGACAGAGAAGCCAAAAGGAAGTTAGAGAATGAAATAAGTCAATAGCAATGACAAAATCAATACCATTAGAAGGCTTGAATCATATTCATGTTTACCCCCACCACTTGTTAAGAAAAGAACAACCCAAAGGAGTTTGCATAATAATTTCTTTAAAGCACTTTATTTTATTCAATATGCACTAAAAAATATTTACCTCTTAGACAATTATGTCAAATAATTTTTCTGAGTAACCTGTCTGAACTGCTTCAGCTGGATTTTTTAAAAGGCAAACGATTTGCCACAAATCTGATATCTGAAAATATCTAATGGAGAGTCTTCTATTTTGGTCACTTTGTATTCTAATGTGTCCATACAAAAGTAGGACTAAAATTTTTAATCCAACAAAAGAGAAGCCTGTATACAGTCTAGACACACATCTTGGACATGAGCATCACAAATGAAGAGAAGAAAAGTGAGACAGAGCCACGGTGGTGTGTCTGCCTCGGTGCTGAAATCAGGATTAAAGGTGGGTTACTCCAGGAACCATTCAAGTGGGGATTGGCTCATTTTCAGGATTTACTTACAAGTCTCTTCTCTGTCCTTTAGGCCCCAGTCCATGCAATGTCCCACTTGGTGGACAGATGAGTAATCTAACCCCACCGGGTTTATTTCAATATTTTGATATTTTAATAATAAGCTGCTTCTGAAGATTTTCTGAGAAGTCTGTTCTCTATTAAAATAAGATAGAACCTCAAAATATGAATGTGAACATTAGAAATAGACAGCATATATTACAAATCCATTCTTGATAGGAACATTAGTAAGAATACACATTAGCTTAAAAAACGGGCTCAGCAAATGTTGCCGATCTGCCAGAAGTTTTAGTTCACTATTTACAGATAAGACAAAGTGAGACACAGTAAATGTTACACATTTGGTAGCTGACAGATTACCGTTTGCCAATAGTGGTCTATCGGAAACTGACATGAAGGAAGACGGGTCAGAGCCAGCTATCCCCTCCTCAATCCAATCTAAATACACAAAAACTAGGCCAATATTCAACATCCTGCCTTGCATGGGAATAACTAGGAGCCGATGATTTGGTTGAGAGATGCAATTTGTGGACGTGTTTTCTGGGAATGATTACTATAATTACATGATCTACTGAAAAGTTACCATATTTATTTCAGTAGACCATTAAAGTTGATTAAATAATGATCAATGGTCATGTTCCCTAGACTCCAAGTATGAACAAAACAAAACTGTTGAGTTCTTTAAACCAATATAAAAACTAAGGCCCAACAGCTTCAAAATGAGAAAAAATGTAAGTGTATGATTCAATGCACATCTGTATTGACATCAAAAATGTCAACTTTAACTAGAAAACAAGCCAGTGTGTATGTGTGGAGGGAGAGGCATCAGAATTGTTTAATAGCTGTACGCTGTGGTCCACAGAGACAATTTATCAAGTGACATGACCCGCAAGTATTTATTTACTTATACATCCAGCATCCTGCACCAGTCAATACCACAATCAACATCTGCCGATTCTAACAGTCAAAACTCTTCAGTAACAGAAATCTTCAAAGTATTTCACTTTTATTTTTACTTTTAATGGTGCAGAGTTGTCTCCCCTTCTTGACAAGAATGTGGTTTCTGTCCATTGTTTCAATCTAATACTGTGTAAAAGCTATCAGTTTCTTCAAGGAGGTGCCCCCACTGTAGGCAGAATTTTCCAGCAACACTTAAAAGTGTTTTCGCTCTCTTTTTAAACAATTGGTTTAAGTTCGTGTCTTTTTACTTTATATGTATTGGTCTGTCGTCTGACTTTAGGCGTTTTCTGCGGGGTTGTATAAAGTCTTCATCAGAGTCCTCAGTTACCTCACCATCATCCTCTTCCTGCTCAAACTCTGGCAAAGGTGCGAAGGTCCTGTCTGAGTAGATCTCTGTGAGTTTATCTTCAAAGTACAACGCAACTGCTTTCCCTGCCTGAGCTACTTCAGAATCAGCCTGCAAGCAAAAGATAGGATATTCACCTATTGGTAATGCATATTCCTTCACCAAGTGTGCATGGTCTGAAAAGCTTACCTTCAAATTAATCTCTTGTGTTTCTGCATAAACTTGAACAACTCTCATCATCTAAAAAGGATACCAGAGTCAAAAAAAAAAGGGAAATTATAAATCCTTTCTAAAATTATAAAACTGCACAGGACTGGCGACAAGAGTCAGCCATACTAGGGGTGTCAGATTATAAGTGCGATGACCAGATTATAAGTGCTTCCTAAAGTTTTACAGAACATGGAACCACTTTCTTTACAAAGTTCTAAGAGTGAAGCTACCGTGAAACCTCAATAATCGTCTCAAATTCTGAATTACTGGGGTTAACCTAAATAGAAATTGGTCAGAATATATCAATCTATTTAAGAGAAACATATCTGTAAGATGAATAATGTAAGAAATGTTGCTTTTAAAAATCTGCCAAACTTTCAACAAACCACTTAATCAGAATGCCATCTATATGACAATTAGTTAATCATAAATTATTTAACTATTACTAAAGCAGAAAAAAATGGGCCTTCTTCCTGGCAAATGCTAGCTATAGTTCATGAAAGCACATTTATTTAAAATAACCTAAGTGCATTAGAAAACAAGACAAAAGCTTGGGACTGTATTAATTTTACTTTGATAGAAGTTTTACTGTTCTCTGTGGCATACTGCTATTGAGGTGACTAGACTTTTCACCTAGTAAGAACTTTTTAAAATTTTTTACAGTCATCTAGATGCTTCCAGAAGCAGCTATGAGTAAATTTTAAATGATTCAACGTGATTTATTTTAATAATAGTCACATGGCACCCAATTTTTACCAGTAATTAAGATGAGACTTTAGTAATAAAGTAATCCTTTTTAAAGATTTTATGAATTCTCATCCAATTCCATTTTCTCCTGTAATAATGAAAAATTTCCTTAACAATAGGCAACTTGACTTTTCCCAAAGATAACCAAAATTATTTCCTTAAGGGAGGGGTGCGTGTGTGTGTGTGTGTGTATCACATTTCTTTACAAGATATGGATAACAAATCCTTATCCTCATAAAAATACAAAGCCGAAGTTAATGAAAGTCACATTGTTGAGATCCAAAAACTCAACATTATATGCTCTGGGCTACTGTTCAAAACGAGCCACCAGAGAGTTGTTACTGATTTTAAGGTCCTACATTTATATGGTCAATAATAAAATCAAAGGACACTGTTACAAATGGCTTTCTTCAATGTACTCAATGTACCCAAAATTTAGGCTTTTATAATAGTTTCCCACAAAACATACTTAACTAGAGACTACTTTCTATACTTAACTCCTCAACTTGTTCAGGAAGGGATATTTAATAACATTCCTGATTTATTATGTTTAAGTATATACTTCAAACCATACACAGTAAACTTTCTTTTTTGGAGCTGTAGATGACAATTTTACTCTTGACAGAATTGAAGCAGAAAAAGAAATTTTAAATCAAATTAGGAAAATCACTTGGCAGGAAAAGCAAAATCCAAACAATAAAACCAACAAACAAATAAAAACGAATAATCCCAGACGACAGTTTGGAAGCTAACATACTTCATTAAACCTTTCACAGTTCTTGAAGATCAAACGGACGTCGGCCACAAAGTCATCTGGGACTTGGTAGTGTTGGGAATGTTTTTTCTGCAGCTTCTTTTTCACGGTCGATAAATCCATTGGTTTCTTTATAATTTTATAGTAGTTTGGTATCTAAAAGAGCAAATAAATACAGCTAGATAAGGATTCTCCCAAATGCCAAACTGTTTTTAATTTGAAAATCCATAGCATCTTAATTTTAGGGGGAAAATGTATTGACTAATGAGCCAGCTACTTGAAAATTTTGGGTATAGTGCATGTACTGTTTATCTTTGGCCCCAATTTTATCATGAAAATCAGATCATGTTCAGAATATGTGGCTGTATCCATGTTATGAAGGCCCCTAAGTTCTATCTTTAAGAAGTAAATTTGGAAAGAAAGCAAATAGCAAGGATAACCAGTCACTAATGTAAAGATACAGGTAGCTCATCAGAATTTTATGATTCCTGAAGAGGTTATTTTTAAATAGGAAAGGGAAAATAGTTACAAAAGGTATTATTATTATTAGAACATGGTATCTTTTAGAGGACTTAACTTTTTATCACAAAGTACTGTGGACATAGCAACAGAGGAAGAAAGATTGGAATACCCCCCCCCCAAAAGAAAATAATGTTTAGCCACTTAGTGATCATGCTGGGAAGTTCTGGCCCCAACTCTTGGCCAAAAATGTGTATCCTCGGGAAATAACTAAACATAGAGAAGCTTTTTCAATAGTTCATGAAAAATAATTTGAAAGTCACTTTCTCATGAACTTAAAGACAAGACAGACCTGCTAATATCAGATGATTACTATTTGCACAAAACATATTCCTTGTGTCTAGACCAGTGGTTCTCAACCTTCCTAATGCCGCGACCCTTTAATACAGTTCCTCATGTTGTGGTGACCCCAACCATAAAATTATTTTCATTGCTACTTCATAACTGTAATTTTGCTACTGTTATGAATCGTAATGTAAATATCTGATATGCAGGATGTATTTTCATTGTTACAAATTGAACATAATGAAAGCATAGTGATTAATCACAAAAACAATATGTAATTATATATGTGTTTTCCGATGGTCTTAGGCGACCCTTGTGAAAGGGTCGTTCGACCCCCAAAGGAGTGGCGACCCACAGGTTGAGAACTGCTGGTCTAGACCTTCTGTGCTGTAAAATTCATTTCTGAAGCTATTCAGTACACAAATCTATTCAATACTGTACAGCACATCTGGTATTCAGTAACATCTTAATTCAACAAATGCTGGCTAACAAATGAAAGACGTATAGCGTAGTCTCAGACCTTTATGATGCACTAAGCACCTCTTATTTTCCTTTTGCTCTGGGACTTCGGAGGCAATATTTATTCCTTACTAAAGTCCCCTTTAAGTTAAAGAATATTGACTTGCAAAATTTTCCCAATCTTTTCTTAATCTTGACTTTTCATAAAAGAGGGCTTATAAAGGCAGAGCCAGTATAAAAGATTAAATTTTACACGTTTATTCAAATACATAGTTTTCTCCCCGACCTACAGAACCTAGAATCGTAGAACTAGAATCTTAGAAATAATTTAGTCCAATACTCCCACTGCACAGTTTAAAGAGTAAAGGCAAGAATATATGTAAGGCCGAAATTGGTTTGGCTCAGTGGATAGAGCGTCGGCCTGCAGACTGAAAGGTCCCAGGTTCGATTCTGGTCAAGGGCATGTACCTGAGTTGCGGGCACATCCCCAGTAGGAGATGTGCAGGAGGCAGCTAATCGATGTTTCTCTCTCATAATTCTCTATCTCTCTCCCTTCCTCTCTGTAAAAAATCAATAAAATATATTTTAAAAAAAAGAATAATATATGTAAGTTTCCCAGTTATAAGGATGGCTAATGGCAGAACTGAGAGAAGTTGTCTTCTGACTCCTAGGTTCAAGATTATTTCCATTATACCTATTACCCCTTACCTTAAAGGGAACAGAGGACATGGAAATTAAATTCACTACATTTCCATCAGAGCAACAAAATCTTTAAAAACAAACTCCAATTTTAACTAGTGGACCTCATATCCACTTGGCCCTACTAAAATTTCTGATTAATAAGAAATATTTAAAGTGCTACTAGGTATGATGCTAAAACATTTACACAGGTTACCAAAGACTATATATCCCTTAAAAGAACCCAATGAGGGAAGAAATAGTATTAGAAAAGAAAACTTGAGCCTTGGAGAGGTTGAGGAGAGTCTTCAAGAAGCTGGAGTTTTAACAGAGTCTTCACCAGGGTGGTACTAAGGAAAACTCACCGAAGCAGGAACTGGCTCCTGGAATTCAATACTTAACTCATGACAATAGAGGTAAAGCAGAAGACGTTCACATTTCTGGCCCAAAACAAAACAAAAAGATAAGAAAACCCTTAAGTTTTTTTGCCTAATAAGATCTTCTTGAGAATAAGAAGTTTATCATTATAAAGTACTAGAGGTCCAGTGCACAAGATTCGTGCACTCGGGGAGGTCCCTCAGCCCGGCCTGCGCCCTCTCGCCGTCGGGAGCCCTCGCAGGTAGCGGGCCTAAACCATAATCCTTAGTGTGAGGTGGAGGCGGGAGAGGCTGTGAGCCAGGCTTCTGGGCTTCTGGCTGAGCGGCACTCCTCCTGTGGGAGTGCACTGACCACCAGGGGACAGCTCCTGTATTGAGCGTCTGCCCCCTGGTGGTCAGTGTGCATCATGTCATACTGACCGGTCATTCAGCCGTTCATTTGCACATTACCCGTTTATTATATAGTATTACTACTACTAGCTCTCCAACTAAACTTACACCCAAAGAAAACCGCTTCGTTTCCCGTTTAGTTTTGAAACTATCTTCTGTTCTACTTTAAATGCACTTATCAAAGACAGAGTGCTTTTTGTTCTTATCTGATAACGGTAATTTATCTACTATTAATGCAACTATTTATACACATGGAAGGAGTCAGAAAAGTAACATAGAGCATTTTGTACAATAATTTATAGATTACCTAGTAACCTATAAATTATTGCTGTTGCTACTCCTGTTGTAACCCCTGTGACAGGCCAGACATATTTTTAATTCCTTTCTTGAAATTATTCCACTCAGGTTCAAAATTAAATAAAAACTATCTGTATCTTCTCAACCCAACTCTAGAATATTTTTAAAAAATCAGAAATAAACTGAAATGCATTTTACCTTTAGTTTTCATTTGCTTAAATTTCTTTTAAGTTTGTACATTCTAAACACATACCTTCTCTTCATAGATAGTGGAGGGGGGATTTTGTGGAGTATATACATCCGATTAGAGCCAAACATAATTAACCACAGAACTATGTGAAAGGTATTTTTCTATGAAGATCAGACTATGGACTACATGAGCAGAAATCCGACTGAAGTGAGGAAGAGGATTTTGATTCCATTTTTAATACAATGAGAAGCCGTTCAAGGATGTTAAGCAAGGGAGTGATAGCCCTGTTCACATTTTTTAAAAGAATGTTATGAACAGTACAGAAAATGGACTGTAAGGGGGCAGGAGTAGAATCGGGGAGTCCAGTGAAGAGATTATTACAGTAGTGCAGACGACAGGCTATGATGGCTATCTCATAAAGTAATCATTAGGGGAAGTAAGAACATAATATTATAAAGTCACTCCTGATTCTTTTATTTCTCTCAGATTTCTGGCTTGAGCAACAAAGATAATGGTAATACACTGGGGGAGAAGTACAGTTTTTATGTTGTTATTTGCTTATTTATTGCTTTTGCTTTTTGAAGAAGAGAATTAAAAATGAACATTTTGTTTGAGGCATGTTCAGTATGAGAAAACTGGATATAAGAGTCTAAAGCTGAGGGCTAGAGATAAAGATTTCAGAAGTCATCAATATATCATCAGATGGAAAGATAAAAAAATGAAAGTGTATCAGGTTACATGTATATCACACTTAAAAAATGTAGAGCCAGAAAACTACAGAATCCCTAATAATACACCAACTGATTTCACACTTACCCTTTGGTCCACAGGGCTTAATCCCTGTGCAGTTTTCCCCTTCTTACTATGTTGCAAATTGTCGCAATCATATTCAACTTCTGGTTTCCCAATATCTCTGCAAAATGTGCATATCCAGTCCCCACTAAAGAGGAAAACAGACAATTAGTCCATATAATGACAACAAAACCCACTCTAGGGAAGCTAATTCCCTAGAGGTTAAGACTCTAGAGGTTGTTTGTTTTCTCTCGTTTCTATTTTTTTTTTCATAAAGTGAAATTGTATGATAAAACTTTCCCCAAATTTTCCCAGTCATTCTTCAATTGATTACCTTCTGGAAAGCAATATAAAACCAGTACCTTGGCATTCAATAGGTCTTCTCATAGTACAAAGCTGATGAGCAGTATGTAGCGTAAGACCAATTCTCAGACACCAGTAATCACAATGATCTCGTATTAACAAACAAGAAAAGAGTACAGGACATGGAATTCCTCAGGTGTCCTGTACTGTTTTGGCATGTATTAAACATGCCAAAAATAAAACTACTATTTGTTCATAGCCAGTCAAAAGCCTAGACTCACATGCATACACACACGCATACACACACACACACACACACACACACACACACACACACACCCTTACAAATACAAGCACATGCACATATACACCTTAGCTTTCAAATCTGCTCAGTCTATCAAACCATAAACTCCAATGAGTCATGCATGTTCCCTCTCCTCATCCCTTACACACATAGGTAAAGTCTACATCTCGAGACTATACTACTGTGTGCCAACAGCTTCCTTTCCCCCCAAAGCCTCTGCCTTTGAGAGAAGGCATTCAGTGGCAAAATTCTAATGTTCGAGCAGATGTTACTATTCAAAGACAAGAAAAATATGAAAAGCCTTCATTTCAAGGCCAAAATGCCAATACTTTTCTCTTCTAAAAGAGTAAAGAAAAAGAAGGCCCTTATGGCATCTCTGGCAAATGACTATGCCTCCTAAGACTTAGGTAAGAATACAATTCTTCAGAAAAATATTCTAACAGTTTTTATATCCACCAGTGTTCTAAGCCAAAAGGTTGAATTTTTCACATTCAACTAAAATCACTGTTTCTCAGAAATCTGAGAGGAAATGTGTTATGTACAGACAGGGAAGGTGAGTTTCCCCAAGAACACCGGTTTACTTTCCTTTAAAAGAAACCCAGGGTAAGGGCTGGGGAAGAGGAAAGACAGAAAGAAGTATGACTCAACTTATGATCTCTGAAATCAACTGAAGTTGAAACTGTGTGAACATAAAATGTTAAAGAAGAAAAAGAGCTCTTCTAAAACCAACTACCACTTGTAGATGTAGACAATCCCTAAAAATCTGTGAGCAGCCTAAAGTAATAAAGTTAATTAGCTCCCTACAGAGTTATAGCTAGGCTACTTTGTAACCCGCCCAGCACATCTATTCCATTGCATTATCCGGCCTCTCAGCTTGCCTTGGGTGCTCAATGACAGCTGTTTTATTTTGGAAACTAGATTTAGCCAACATGGGGTTCAAGGACAATGCTCTTTATTTTATCCCTAAATTATTTACTTTTAAATAAGTAATTCAGTAATTGTCTATTCAAAGTTAATGACTAAAAGACATTTCACCTAGATCCAAAGAAAAGCCTGAGAAGTCTGCACACAGTGATTCAGGCAGGCAGAACCAATTAACTACTTCCAGTGGTCAAGAGAAAGCTGTTTCTAAAAAAATTCACAACACTGAAGGTGTTTTTACAAGGATTTTTTTCTTTAAAATGTCTTCTGAGAGCTTTCAGACATTAAGTTTGGGTAAAATTTAATATAGTTGTCATAAAACTAAATAGCATTCAGAAATAAAATAATAATTGTAGAACCTATTAAAATTTATGGCAATAGCCCGGCTGGTTTGGCTCAGTGAATTGAGCATCGTCCCATGCACCAAGAGGTCACTGGTTCGATCCCCAGTCAGGGCACATGCCTGGGATGCAGGCTCAATCCCCAGTAGGGGGCGTCAGGAGGTAGCTGATTGATGTTTCTCTCTCCCTCTCAAATTAAAACATATATATTTTTTTAAATGATGCCAATAGATTTTAAAAATTAACTTGAAGAGGAAATCTGCCCTTGCCCCTTATAATTAAGAGTTTTATCTAATTTGTTTACATTAAATATAAACTGAAGGCCAGGAAATAATCTACACTTTATCATTAATGCGGCAGCACTTACATCTTGGACAGTTTATTGTTCAACTATTAGTTTCTCTAGAAGGTAACACCAAAGGAACAGGCCCGTTTTACTATATATGCAATGGTTAAGAAGGCCCCCTGCCCTAACTTTCTGGTGGGTTGGTTGGTTTGTTTGTTTATAAAAGTAAACATTATCAAAAAATCAATTATTTCACTGGTACCTTGGAAAGCTAAGAAGTGTTGGAACATGACAAGTTAGATGAAAGACCTTTGGACATTTTTCACAGCACAAGAGATCCCCTCCATTTTGGCAGACAGCACACCAATCTTCATTTGGGTCATCATCTTTGCTGTTGCCATCTCCTCCCATCCTTGCCGACCTGTGCATGAGGCTTCGAATTGAAGACTTTCCATTAACAAGGCTGCTGAGCCCTGACTGTTTGCAGCTCTCATTCGTATCTGTAGGCTCAGTTTTCACATGGTTTTCCACTCCTGGTAATGCATCCAACTCACTCTCTAGATGCAGGTTGGTTGAGAGAGGTGGTGTCAAACTACTCTCAGGACTGCTCAACTAAAACAAAACAAGGACAACCTCTTGAAGAATCATTTAATCCATTGTTGTTAGGTGTGTGTGTGTGTAACCTTATGTTAACATGTATACAGATATACTGACCTAACTTAAAATTACTTTGGAAATCAGTGACATAAAGGAATGAAATTAACCCCAAATTTATTTAGGCATGTTAATTTGTGATTTTAGGGAGCAGTCTCCGAAATATTGGTTCACTCAGATAGTAAGGAAATTAATTTAACAGCTAAGCACACTGACTGGGAAGTGAGCATAGGGTTCTACTTTTCCTAAAGAGAGTTGACATTGGTGTGTTATTTTTCACTCAAGAATCTACTGCATAGCTTTTGAGGAGCATTCTTCTGCCCACTTATTCTACAAATGTAGGAAGATCATGACAATATAAAAAAGAATCTTTTAACCTGTTTTGGAGGTACTTTCCAGATTAAGTTCTGGATGAAGAGGTGATACTGCTCCAAACCCATGGCTAAATGTGCTACTCTCTAAACCTACATACAGTGCATTCAATATATAGCTCGAGCTAAAATTTCTATGTGCCAACCACACAGAAGCCCAGGCAGGAAGAAAAAAACCAAGATAGAAATTTCTAAACAAAGAGACTTGTGCCTTCTTTTATCCTATATTATACATTCTATAAAGTGTCCCATCTGGGAACTCTAAAATGGGTAATAATTCATAAGCTAAAGGCAATCTTCCCCCATCACAAAACTCTTTGATTGTTAACTTCTTTCATGTCAGCAGCCTTAATTCTGAATGTACAGGTCCAGGCAAATAGCCAAGGGTCATTTGTGGCCTGAGATGATTAAAAAATTCAGAATAAGATAGAATCTGACTTAAAATCATGGCAAAAAATAGGACCAATTAAAAATAAAAAGATAATTTTAAATGAATCTTTAGTATGATTCTTTTCTGATTAGTTACAGCTAACATTTCGAGACACTGAGTTAGAAAAAGAGATAATTGGCTAGTACCGGCATAGAAATGCAAGCGTAAGTACATGTTCACGGCAGCACTGTTCAGTCTAGCACACGCGGAGAGGGAAGGGTCCCGGCAGACCCCAGTGGGCTTTACCATGCAGGCACTCCTCCTGCCATCCTCTGTCTTCTCTTGCTTCACGGCTCCTGAAAAGCTACATATTTCGTCTTCAGTCCCAGGTTCTTGCTTGACCTTCACTTGATCAGACTTGAAACTAAGACTTGTCTTCTCAGCAGTTCTTCCTGATGACCCACAGCTAATAAAAAAACAAGAAAGGCCACATATGTTTGACTGTGTGGTGTGTATAAAAATAATGTTCATTAATGTGAAAGCAACAGACAATTTATTAATTTTAAGATAAGATACTTCATAATGTTGTTTAAGAGGAGTGTGGTATAAACTTAGCTTCCAATTCTTAAAAATGTAAATCAAACTTTCAGAAGATCTTAAAAACACATGTTATGTTCTGAGGCACTTACACTACACCAGGTAAGAAGTCTAGTAAACAATCATTTTCCCTTCTCGCTATAAAAGTAGTTTTAACTCTTCTCTACCCCCAAACATCTGAAGAAAATAACATCAACAGTGGTTCATGAAGCCTTCTCAAAGGAATTGCTAGTTTAGTTTTTATGGGCAGGGAATTGGGAAAGAGGATAACAAATAGTAAACAACCTAGAATGTCCTTATTTGAAATCAATGTAATGACACAAGACTAATCAGTTATATCTAGAACACAAAGCAAAACCACTGGCAAGAGATGTAAATAACTGGTAAGACTGTATTACTTCTAAGAATGAACACCTTTTTTTTTCACTCAATTTATTCTTTTCTTCTAAAAGTACTGATTATTAAAGTATAATTAAAAAGTCAAGCAAGTGTTTGAAAGGACCAATCTTCAAACTGCATGTGCACTCATGCATACAAAAGAATGCTATAACGTAAATATTTCTTGCATTATATTATACTAAATTATTTAAACTAAAGAGTAAAAGTCAACATTATTGTATTTTATCTGAAAAGACACTCTCCCACCACCCCCATTTTCTTAGTTCTGTCCACCAAAAAGGCATAAAAAACAATAATTCAGTAGAAATGAGTATCCCTAGTTCCTAGAAGACTGTCTCCAAGCACCATTTCTCACTAACGTGACCAGATTTCTTAGAGAAATGGCTGATTCCAGTTCTGAAGCAGGTAATGTACAAGATGAACTTGGACAATCATTTTATAACAACAAACAAGGAAGCCTTCAGAGGATGCTGGGGTTATACCCCCCAAAAAGGGGGGGGGGACTTTAAAAAACTCTGACAGGCCAAAGATAAAAAACTTTAAGCATCAATAAAATAACATCTACAATGGTTTGGATCATATAAAATATATTTAAGTATATGAGTTCATAAAGTTAAAAATAATAAAACCACTGGTCACTGTTGAAGGGTGCTGGGAAATCAACTCAATAGGTAAATAGAGAGAACAAATCTATTCACTCAGCTTTTCCCATAACCAAATAGTTGATGGCAGAAAGTGTCTCTTTACAGAATTGTTTAATAAACAAAGAAGGAATAATACAATAATTCAAATGCATCATTTTTCAACCAGTAAAAAAAAAAGTTAGGCAATGATCATTAATGATCGCTTTCACAAAACAAACAAAACCCGACCAGACATTATGTGGCCCTTATGGGAATACACAGCACCACTACCCTTTCCCCCAAATCAAACCTGAATCCAATCAAACCTCCTGATCTAAATACAATATAGAGAAAAAACAGCAGGCAGTGTATTTAAATGACAAAATGGATGGAATGCTATAGGAAAAACAATACACCTCCTCACATACATTGATTCTGACTTCAACATATATATTGGTGGCAATGTAAAGGTATTTTAAAAGCTATTTATGGGGAAATCTGAACATTTAACTGTATCTCTAGTAATATTAAAGAATTATCCATTACATTTTTTCTAGGTGTGATAATAGTTCTGTGGTTATAAAATTTTTAAATACTTAAATTTTAAGTGATATATTCTGAAATAGTCACAAGTAAATAGGATATCTGAGATTTGTTTCAAAATAATCCAGACCAAGAGGGAATGAACAGAGAATTAAGATTGGCCATAACTTGGTGATTATTGAAGCTAGATTGTAAGTATGTAAGAGTTCACTGTAATATTCATTTCTTAAAGTATATATTTGAAATAATTCTTAATAAAAAATTGTACCTATTAATAATGTAATACTCACCTGCCTCTGCTGCCAGTACTAGACGTACTAGGGGGTCTCACAGGAGTGTGAGAATTGGATAAACCTGCAAATAAGTCAAAATGAATATTAATGCAGGTATGAATATTCAGAATTCTACCTACTAGTTACAGATTCCAACATGATCATAATACAAGTTAGCTGCCCTGGCCAGATAGCTCAGTTGGTTAGAGCATTGACTGATAAACCAAGTTTGTGGGTATGATAAGTAGGACAACAAATCAATTTCTCCCTCTGTTCCTCCCTCCCTTCCTCTATCTAAAATCAACACATAATTTTTTTTTAATTTCCTGAAAATCAGACCCAGGCTTAGCCCTGAAGTCAGGTATGGCATTTGTAATCATTGGCAGACCTCAACCAGTTTCTCTCAGATGAGCACCATCCCCAAAGCCTCACAGCAACACGATCCGATCAATGAAAACTGACCAAGAGAAAGCTATTTGCCGTCTTTC